ATTCTAACCCAGTGCCACTGAAAGAATGGTGAAGTATTTCCAAGTCATGATGGCGACTGTCTTGGAAGGAAACTTTCAGGTGGTGCTGCTCCCACATATAGGCTGTCCTTGTCCTTCTGGATGGAAGTGGTCATGGGTTTGGAAGGTGCTGTACAAAGATCTTTGGTGAATTTCCGCACTGAATCTCATAGATACTTAGATTTAGGCTTTCTTGTCACGTGTACTCAAGTACAAAAGTTCAGGAGTGCAGTGAAAAATGTACAATGTTGCCACACACGGTGCCATCTTAGGTACAAAATCTTGAGAACAAGATAGAAAGAAACAAAGAACAAAGTTAAACATTACATTCATTTTTAGTATAGTGTAAAAACAGAAGAAATAAAGTTAAATATTACAGACTTTCTTAGTATAAAGTAGAAAAATGAAGTAATAAAGCCAGAAGTTTGACCATTACAGTCTTGCTAAAGTGCTTAGCCATGCTGGGACCGCACGTCCTACAAGAGCTCAATCTCCTCTGCTTTGGCACGCTTTTGCCGCACAGTCGATTCCAGGAGTCCTGCTTTCGGGGCACCACCACCACACCAGGCCTACCACGCTGCCAACAATGCAACCACCAATCCCATCAATCCGCTGGAAGTACTGATTCAGATAGTACATACTGCTGCTTCTGAGCTTCAGTGGTGGAGGGAGTGGATGCTTGTGGATGTGGTGTCAATCAAGCAGGCTGATTTATCCTGAACGGTGTGAAGTTTCTTGTTGGAGCTGCACTCATCCAGACAAGTGGGGAATATTCCATCACACTCCTGACTTCTACTTTATAGATGGTGGACAGGTTTTCTGGAGTCACAAGGTGAGTTACTTGCTACAGTATTCCTAGCCTCTGACCTGCTCTTGCAGCCACTGTATATATACATATATATATGTATATATTCTGAGACCAGTTGAGTTTCTGGTCAACGGTAAGCCCAAGGATATTGATATTGGGGTATTCAGTGATGGTTAGACTATTGAAGGTCAAGGAGCCGTTGTTAGTTTGTCTCTGACTGAAGCTGGTCATTATCTGGCATTGGTGTGGCATGAATGTTACTTGCCTCTTGTCAGCCCAAGCCTGGGAATCTAGTTAAATTGTTGAAGCTGCTTGTAGTATAATGGTACGTCCCTACATCTGGGTCCGGATTTTTCTCATACTGTCTCTGTTATTTGCAGTTCCCACTCAACCTCTTACACTTGCTTGGTTTTCAGTTGTAGTATTAACTTAATAGCCATCTGGCCCACCCTTTTTTCAATTTCATTGTGGTAGTCTCTGTGGGGAAAGAATGTCGAGGGCAATAGATCTGCTGGGCAGTCTGAAGCATGGTCGGCAGGTATCCAACGTCAAGCCTTTGATTAGCAGGGTGGATGAGGAGAGGCCAAAAGTCAGAAATCTGGGAGTTGCCTGAAGTCTGACAGGCGAAGAGACATTACAAAAATACCCATTTCCCTCAGGGAATATTTGTTGTCAGGTCTTGAAAATTAAACTCTGGTATGTGATCATGTTTGTAAATGATCCAAAATGGTAGCTATTAAGTAAGGCACCACAGTAAATGTTAAAATGAATCTCATGATTCTCGAGATTTCTAGACCTAATAACTGAGCAACATTACAGTGAAACAACAGTAAAAGGACAACATTGAACACAGACTTCCTGTACTGCAGTAAGTGAAATAGGGCACCTGATAAACAGAAAATATGCAACTCAACCAACCAGACTGAATAATGGTGAAATTACCAGTGTAAGTACTGAGATGGAAATTTGAATTTGACTGCATGAATTTGATGTAAAATCAGAGAAAGATTGCAAAAGGCAACCTTTAATAATTGTATCAAACAAAAAGAGAAACAGAAAGTAAAAGTAAGGTTTCCACGATTATTACCCGTAGCAGAAATGAAAGATTGACAAGAAGTCTTAATTAGGACAGAGCCAATTTCCACGCTTGGAGAAGTTCGTTTTCAGTGCCAGACACTTACTGGCAGCAATTAGCATATCACCTCATTGGTGAGGGTACTTGCACTTACCCAAATACAGCAACTGCTTGTCATTCAATGTATTTCAACTGAGACAGACAGAAAGATACCGCTTTCATGAAGTTAACTGTGGAATAGCACTACTTATTGAATATAGACATAGTGCTACATACTATAATACTTCAGGAATGAAAGATACCAATAGCCTCTTATTTTCACTTCAGACCAATGTATTTTGACATGACAAAATACCCAAACCCTGGGTTGCAAACAGATTCCATTCTGGAATCTGCAAGTCAATCTGTAGACAAATTGGAATGCAACACAGAACAATGGATAGCAGTTATTCCTAAATCCAGGAAATGTTCTTATGTAAGGTCTTGAAAATTAAATCCCGTACTTGATCATATTTGTAAGTACAAGTGTTCGTAACTTGGATGTTTGTAAATCTGGGACTCCCCTGCAGTGTGATTGTACGAATATTGCATCGTATTCGGTGTTATAATTGCATGGTGCCTTGGTGGGAGAGGGAACCAGTGCTGCAGTCACATCATGCTTCCAGGTGCTGCAGTCAGAGACTTACCACAGGGCAAGAGACATTTTCACCCATCAAGTTCCTGCCAGTCTTTGAGTATCTATCTGCTCTAATCCCATTTTCCAGCACTTAACCCGTAGCCTTATATGCTAGGGTGTTTCAAGTGCTTGTCTAAATACTTCTTAAATGTCTTGAAGATTCCCACCTCTACTAACCTTTCAGCAGTGTGTTCCAGATACCCATCCTGCCGGATCCTCAAATTCTCCCTTAAGCTCCTGCTCATTACTTAAAACTGCCCTCCTGGTTATAAACACCTCTACCAAGGGGAAACATTTCTCCCACGACACCCCTCAGAATTCAGTAAACCTCAATTAGCTTTCTCTGCTTTAAGGGAAAACAACTCCAGTCAATCAAGTTTCCCTTCATAGCTGAATTTCTCCAGTCCAAGCAACATCCTGGTGAATCTCCACCGCACCCTCTCCAGTGCATTCACTCCTTCCTATAGCATAGCAACCAAAATTACACAGAACTCCCGCTTGTTGTCTAACTAATGTTATATAAAGCTCCATCAAAACCTCCTTGCCCTTGCATTCAATAATAAGCTTTGACTAATAAATGCAAGTTTCCCAAATACCTTCTTAACTAACATATTTATCTGTCCTTTAAGGATCAATGGCTGATCTTCAGTACTTCCGAGAGTGCTACCATTCAATGTGTACTCCTTTGACTTGCTCATACTCCCAAAATGCTTCACTTCACACATTTCAGGATTAAATTGCATTTGGCACTGTTCAGCCCATCTATGCCACCCACTGTCTAAAGCTTTCCTTATCACTATTTACACAACCAATTATCTTGTCATCAGTGAACTTACTGATTAAACCCCCAATTCTTCAAACACACATTCATCAGTTCTCTCCACCTATTATTCAACTCACTAGCCTGTAGCATTGAGACAATCCAGAAATTACAATCTTTCTTGCTGCAGCTTTTTGTTTCTTACTTCCCTAAATTCTGTAGACCTCACCCTTTTTCCACTCATATCATTGGTTACAATGTGAATCACATTCTTTGTTCATCACTCCCTTTCAGGATGCCCTGCAGCCATTCTGTAACATCCTTAATTCTGGCAAGGAACAAAGAAGCAACATACATCCTTGGGTCACATCTGCAGCTGCTGAAACACCCATCTTTAACCCACACTCTTAAGTCTCCTACCACTATGTTCTCTTTCTGCATCCATCATGTGCAACCGGGGTCTGGCAACATTCCCCAGATGACCGTCACTCTCAACATTTTCCAACACAGAAAATCTGTTCTTGAACGAATAGCGAACCCATGATGTCAGCGTGGTATGCACCGTATGTGCAGGAATCCAGTACTGTTGTGTACTGTGACACCAGGATGTCAGTACTTTGTGCATGGTGTTCCCAGGATGCCAGTGCTGTGGTTGCACAGTGTCTGCAGGGATGCTAGCACCAGTGTGCAATCTGTTCATGGGATGCCGGGCCTGCAATTATATCATTTCCCTGAGATGCCAGTGCCAGTGTACAAAGTATGCGTGGGATACCACGACTGCACAGTGTCCCTGGAAGTGCCAATGTTGGCATGCATGGTACACCCCACGGGATGGGGTGTGTGTGCTGCTGCTAACTCTGGGTGTGGTGGCGGTGCTTGTTGTGGAGTGTACCCAGAAATTCCAGTGCTGGAGGTGTGCAGTGTCCCTCGGGTGGCAGGGCCTGCAGCTGCAAAATATCCCTAGGGTGCCAGTGGCACGGTGCACATTATCTCCAGGGTGCCAGTGCCTGCAGCTGCAACGTATCCCCAGGGTGCCAGTGTCATGGTGCACAATATCCCCAGGGTGCCAGCGCCTGCAGCTGCACCGTATACGCCGGGTGCCAGTGGCAGTACTGCAGCCGAGGCGGAGCTGGAGAATGGGGCGTAGTCCCAGGCTTGACATTCGGAACTCGAGCGCCGGCTTCTCCTCCTCCAATCAGAATCCTCAGCGTGTCCCCGCCGCCGCGAGTCCGAATCCTGGAACCGCCGTGCCCACGAGCCCCGCCCCCGCTGATTGGTCAAAACCCGGCACGGCCGGGGCCGGCCGCTTCTCTGATTGGGCGGTCACGTTGTCAATCACCACCAGTTTCTTTTCCTCCCCCCCCCGGCCCCCCAAACCCGGGGGCGGCGGCGCCCCCCCCCCTCCTTTCCATAGGGCCCCCCCCCCCCCCCCACCGACCCCCGCTCTTCCGCTCCCCCACACACAGCTGGCAGCAGCGCGACTCGGTGTAACCGTCAAAAACCGGCCGTCCGCGAGGGTGGAAGCCACTCGCACCGCCGGGTCGCTTCTCGCTTCTCCCTCCTCCCGCCACGGGCCAGCGAGCAGCTCGTCACGAAGTTCGGTTCCGAAACCCACCCGGTCCCGTTTCCTTCCCCCCGACCCTGCTCCTCCTGTTTCACTTACCGAAGCCGGCCACCCAGAGCGCTGCCATCTTGGATCTCCACAGCAACCCCAGGAGGACCCCGGGAAAGGGGCGTCCCGAGTTCAGCCAGCAATAAATTAGCGACCCAATGCGTGGTCGCAAGGAGCACACCGTCGATCACAGCCTCACCCGGCACCGCAATGGAAGCTGCGACTTGTAACACAAAATGTGATTTCTTAGAAAAAGGATTTCAGGCAATCCGACAGAACGACTGTGCTGTCTAAAGGACCCACTCTGGGTCACTGTGCCTCCTGCTGGGCTCTGGGCAGTACTGCAGCAGTAGAGAAGCTCAGCGCAACCTTGTCCTCATCATTGAGAGCACAATGCAACAACTAATAGTAAATAGGTAGAAGGGTTCAAGAACAATAGGATATGAAGGGCAATACAATCTGAGTTTAAAATACAACAATCAGACTGGGTATGGCAGAGGCAGTGAATGTGTAAATGGTAGCAGGACGCCAATGCCTCAGGTAACTGATGAAGTGTAACACCTGCCCCATTTACCTCCTCCCTCCCCAGTATCCAAGGGCCCAAATGTACCTTCCAGGTGAAGTAGCATTTCACCTGCACTTCCCACAACCTAATCTACTGCATTCGCTACTCACAACATGGTCTCTACATTGGAGAAACAAAGCATAGACTGGGTGACCGCTTCGCAGAACATCTACAATCTGCCCACAGAACAAAAAGACACTGAGCTTCCACCTGCTTGCCATTTTAACACACCACCCTGTTCCCTAGCCAACGTCTCTGTCTCAGGCTTACTGCAGTGTTCCAGCAAAGGTCAGCACAAGCTGGAACAACAACTCATTTTCCATGTGGGGACCCTGCAGCTGTCTGGATTCAAAATTGAGTTCAATAATTTTAGGGCCTGAACTGTGCCATGTCCCAGTCCCCTACTCCACACATCAGGCCTTGTTATCACACAGTCTGCCATTACACACAACCTCTTGTTATCCATTAACAGCTATTCACCCTCATAGCCAGATTGTTATCAACTCTTTTGTCTGTCTAACTGTTGTTCTCTCTCTTTGGGCTCTATCTCCATCTATTGTTTACACCTTACCCCCTCCCTCACTCTATCTTCTGGACATAAAACCGACATTTTTCGAGCTACCATCAGTTATGAGGAAGGATCACTGGACCTGAGTCGTTAACTCTGATTTTTCTTCACAGATGCTGCTAGATCTGCTGAGCTTTTCCAGCGACTTCTGTTTTTGTTCAGGTTATAGTCCAGCAGGTTTATTTGAAATCCTGCTTTGTCAAGTGAAGTGAAGCACACAGGGACAGAATTTATAGGCAGAGAGATCAAAAGATCAGACAGAAGGTGTGACTCGAGTGTCTACAGGCTGAGTAAGAAGTCTCTGCAGGTGATCAAAAGTATCAGACGGTGTGAGCTAAGTGTCAACAGCTGAATAGCAAGCGAAGGGATGACCTACGATATGATTAAATAATATCCATGTCGATGATCTAGCATGCTTTGCAGAGGTTGCCATGACAGGGTTGTGTCGTGTTTACTACCACCACACGTGGGAATACCAGCGACCACATACACGGCAGATACTCGTGACTCATCCAGTGTTGTCTATCTCATATGCTGCAGGAAAGGATGCCCTGAGGCATGGTATATTGGCGAGATTGTGCAGAGGATATGACAATGGATGAATTTACACCACACAACAATCGCCAGGCAGGAATGTTCCCTCCCAGTCGGGGAACACTTCAGCGGTCAAGGACATTCAGCTTCTGATCTTCAGGTAAGCATCCTTCAAGGCGGCCTTCGAGATACACAACAACACAGAATCACCAAGCAGACACTGATCAGTCAAGTTCTGTACCCATGAAGACGGCTTCAACCATGATCTTGGATTCACGTGACCCCACCACACTGTTCTGTATCAATAAAATCTTCCTTACTGTCCTGTTTTGACACCAACTCTCTACCTTTTTTAGTTTGTACCGTTTTGGATTACTTATTACTTTGGTTAGACTCTCGGTATGCGACTCTTATACCTCTCATGTTATTCCAGCCATTTGGTTTGACTCCAAAACCACCTTTTAATTTTTTGTAATTATCTCTCTGCATCAATTAATTGGACTGTAGGTCATCCCTTCACTTGTTAACTAGCTGTTGACACTTCATTCACACAATCTGACACTTTTGATCACCTGCTGAAACTTATTATTCAGCCTGTTAACACTCCACTCACACCATTTCTACGGTCTTTTGATCTCTGTGCCTATAAATTCTGTGCTGTGGAGGTGCTGGTGTTGGACTGGGATAGACAAAGTAAAAAATCACACGACACCAGGTTATAGCCCAACAGGTTTATTTGAAAACACAAGTTTTCAGAGCCTCAGTCTTTCTACAGGTGTTAGCCTAACAAAGACTGAAGCTCCAAAAGCTTGTGTTTTCACATAAACCTGTTGGACTATAACCTGGTGTTGTGTAATTTCTTACTTTGTAAAGTCTGTGCCTGTGCCTGTGCCTGTGCCTGTGTGCTTCACTTCACCGGACGAAGGAGCAGCGCTCCGAAAACTTGTGATTTCAAATAAACCTGTTGACTACAACCTGGTGTCATGTGACTTCTGCCTTTGATAGAAAGCACAGACCAGGCAAAACAAGAATTATTATTAATTAAAAAGACAAATAAAAACATAAATCCTTACAAAATAAATATGTTCATCCAAGGGCTATTATGGTAATAAGGTTGCAGAGTGACTGAGCTTGGCATTTAAATATTTCAGGAGTGTTGTTCTTTCAAAGACATATTGAAGTAGAACAGGTGTCGGATATCCTTGATGTTAGGTAAAAATTGAATAAGAACAGTACAGAAAGGAATTGTGCTCTGAATATCGAGACATAGAATAGGGCTTACAACATAGGTCTGGCAGCGTCTGTAGAGAGAAAGCAGAGCTATTATCTTGACGTAACAAGGTGTTCATTTTCTGAAGAACGGTCCAGACCCAAAACATTAGCCTTCCTGCTCCTCTGATGCTGCCTGGCCTGCTGTGTTCATCCAGCTCTACACCTGGTTATCTCAGACTCCAGCATCTGCAGTTCCTACCATCTCTATTATCTTGACAGATGCTTCCAGACCTACTGAGTTTCTCCAGCAATTACTGGTTTCGTTTCAGACTTCAAGCACCCATAGTTCTTTGTTTTAAGAGATAGAATCAGTTTGGATAAAACTTTTTTAAAAAAACAGAAAAATACTACTGAGGGTAGTCCCTAGGTTCCTTAGCAGCAGTGTAGTGCCTGGCGGAATATAAATCAAAATTGGAAAAGCATGAAAAAATGGGGATACCGAAATTATTGGAGAAAACAAATAGAAATTGCTGGAAAAGCTCAGCAGGTCTGGCAGCATCTGTGAAGAGCATTCAAAGTTAACATTTCAGGTAGAGTGACCCTTCCTCAGAATTGATGGTAGCTAGGAAAATGTCAGTTTATATGCAGACGATAGGGTAGAGGGAGGGGATAAGGAGTAAACGATGGATGGGGATAGAGTCCAAAGTGAGAGAAGAACAATTGGACAGACAAAGGAGTTGAGAATGATCTGGCTAGGAGGGCGAATAGTTATTAATAGAGACTGTTAGTGGCTAACAATAGATTGTGTGTAATGGCAGGCTATGTGATAACAAGGCCTGGTGTGCAGGGTTTGGAGTAAGGACATGGGAGAGCTCAAGCCCTAAAGGTATTAAACTCGATATTGAGTCCAGAGGGCTGCAGGATCCCCGAGTGGAAAATGAGATGTTCTTCCAGCTTGCACTGAGCTATTCAAGTATTCGTCCAGGTGCTTCTTGAAAGCTGCTATTGTGTCTGCTTACACCACCTCCTCCAGCAGCCCATTCCAGCCACTCACCACCCTTTGTGCGAAAAACTTGCACAGCTCTTTTAAATTTGACCCAGCCCCCACACCTTGAACCTGCATCTCCTAGTGATTGATCCCTCCACCCTGGGGAAAAGCCTCATACTTCACCCTCTATCCATGCCATTCACAATCTTTTAAACTTCTATCAGGTCGCCCCTCAATCTCCTGCATTCCAATGAAAACAAACCCAGTCTATCCAAACTTTTTTCATAGCTAAAATCCCTTGTACCAGGCAACATCCTGGTAAACCTTCTCTGTAAAGCATCCACATCCTTCTGGTAGTATGGTGACCTCACTGGAGGTGACAGGAAAAGCAGCTAATGATCCTCTGGATGTGGATGCTGGTGGGATGGTAGGTGAGCACAAGGGGGACCCTATTGTTGGGGGAGAGAAGGGAGGGTGTGAGGGCTGAACTGTGAGAGATGGGTTGGACCTGGCTGAGGATTCTGTCAACAACAGTGCTGGGGAACTAAAAACCGAAAGAACTGCAGATGCTGTAAATCAGGAACAAGAACAAAGTTGCTGGAAAAGCTCAGCAGGTCTGGCAGCATCTGTAAAGGAGAAAACAGAGTTAATGTTTTGGGTCTGGTGACCCTTCCTCTGAGGAGGTCAGTAGGTCACTCAGCAGATCTAATGTTTTGGGTCTGGTGACCCTTCCTCTGGTGACCCTTCCTCTGAGGAGGTCAGTAGGTCACTCAGCAGATCCTGAAGTAACTCTGATTTCTTTCCATAGATGCTGCCAGACCTGCTGAGGTTTTCCAACGATTTCTGTTTTTGTTTTTGATTTCCAGCATCAGCAGTTCTTTTGATTTTTTTTTTAATAAAGATTCATATTCCTTCAAGTTCAGAAGAATGCAAGATGAAAGATATCAAATTATTATGGGGATTGACAGGGTAGATGCTGAGAGAACGCTTTCTCTGTTTGTGAAATCTATAACCGTGGACTACAGTCTCAGAATAAGGGATTGTTCATTTAGGACTGAGGTGAGGAGAAATTTCTGCTCTCAAGGGCATGTGAATCTTTCGGAATTTCTTAGCCCAGACAGCTGTGGATACTCAGTTATCAGGTACATTCACGCCAGAGATCAATACTTCATTGGATATTAAAGTAAATTATGGGGTGTGGGGAAAGTTTAGGAACCAGGGAAATTGAAGATCAATTTTTATTTTCTTGTATGATGAAACAGGTTCAAGTAGCCAAATGGTTTACTCCTGCTCCTTTTTTCAATGTTTCACACAAGGACGTCAATGTGTCTGTACTGGGATAACCCAAAACTGATTCTTTCTCATGCTCCTGTATCTTACAATTCAACAACTATTTTCCCTTCA